GGCAACCTTCCGATTACAAGGCGAACTCCACACTCTTGAGCCACGATCGCCCTGCACTTCCTCCACTTCCCTACCATTAATTCATTAATGTTGAATTCTCTCGCAGCTGCTCTATTCCCATGTTGTTGCAGTATATTAAAAACTAACCTTGTATTGTGGATGAAAAATCTCAGTTGTTCTCCTGACTGAAGTTTGGCCCGTGTATAGTATCCATTAAGCAGTGCGGCTTACCAAAGTTGTACTAAAACATTTTTTAACAGATTTCTGCACGCCTAAATTGGTTCAAGGTCAGTAAGCACAACCAGAATTCATACATAAGGCACACTTGACTTTTGAGAAAATTAAAGGATTTTAAGTGCGCCTTATAGTGTTGAAAATACATTATACAGAAGAATATATCGTGATATATATCGTTACCGCACGTGCTTCAAATTATACTGCGATATAGATTTTAGGCCATATCGCCCAGCCCTAGAGCTGCTGTTACAGTGTTTGCTACAAGAACACACAAACACACAGAGCTCCAATGAGCTCACTGTTAATCTGTAAATGTGACATTTCTGCATTATGCGTTTGTATTATTTCATCTCTGGGCTTCCGGTTTCTTTCATTTAAGTAACATATTTAAATTGTAAACTGTTTTTCCTTTTTCCAGCTGAACTAGAGACAATTACTCACACATTTATGTTATTGTGCTTCTTCCTGTAAAGCTCTGTTTACTGGCTTAGATTTTAAAATAGACTTTTTTTTTGTACTTACTTATAGAGCCCTAAACGGACAATGGACAGATCTCAGCTTCTTACTAAACACACTGCGGCTCGATGACAGGCTCAGGATGTGTTGGTTGTTCCTCATGACAGACTCGTACCTCTCACATCTACGTTTATCTGACTCTACAAGCAGCTGACAGCTTGTTCATTAACCAGACTTACTGTTGAGAATCTTAATGATAGTAAATGTTTTTAATGATCTTTTCTGTGTCACAACTTTATTTTGAATTGCTATCACCTGTATTTTAATTTTCTATTACACTTATATTGTGATTATTCTTTGTGACCTCATGTCTGTGAACATTGCTTTATTTCCTTCCTTCCTTCCTCCCTTCAGGCATTTCTGATGATGCCCAGCTCTACTGAGAATTTAATAAAAAATAAAAAAAGCATAAAGCAGCTCTGGTACTTACATCATCTACATATATTTGAAGGAAAATGAATAAAAGAATAGAATAAATCTTTGCAAAAATGACTGAATATTATACTACTGTATGATTTATGAATGATTTAAATTGTTCTACTTCAGGGTTTTTCCTGAATATGAAAAAATTGATTTTGTCCTTCCATCAAACGGAAAATCACCAGAACTGTGGAAAAAAATATTTTTAAGCAGGGTTTAATTTACTTTAGCTTAAAAATGTTGTTATGAATACTTGTGAGACGGCAAAAATAACAGGAAAATACACAGATTAATGTCATACGCCGAACTACAGATGTGCTTTGAAAAAACATGAAAACTGAAGGTGGTCTGCTGTTGTGACACACTGAGACAACTGGGGATAAAACCTCTGAGCTGCTCACCATCATCTTGTTGTCTTTAAAAGCTCCTTCATAGTACAGGCCAAACTGGGTGACCACCACTCCGGTGCCCTGCCGCTGGTGGTCCTGCCACATGCCCATGTACTTCTCTCCTCTGGAAAGCAAATAGACAGCAGCCTATTTATCCCTTCATATGTGTAATATCAGAAAGCTGCCAGTAAATTTATAGGCAAAAGAACTGTCTGAGTGTGGGAATGAGCGTACTTGGTGATATCGTCAAAGACTCCATAGCCGGTCTTCTTGTCCTGCAGCCACTGACCAATGAAGACGCTGGGGGACGAGGTGTTCAGCTTGCCACTGCGCAGCATGCCGTGACCGTGCCGCACGCCCTCCTGAAAGGACCCGTCATAAACTTCACCGCTGGCATACCTGCAGTCAGATAGAGGAGGGGTGCTCTCTTACAACACAGCTGTTTCATCTATGACTGAACCTCAATCTCTTCTTTTATTGAGAAATTTCACTGCTAAAATGCTTCCTATGTCGTCTCTGATTTTAAGGAAAGCAAGCAAGAAGAACTTCTTTTATCAGGTGACAACATTTGCTAATGAGAAATCTCCCTCAAAACTGTTATAAGTATGTTTAAATACGGTTGCTGATAGTTAGCTCATCTTCATAAGAAAGAAAGCACACACAGGGTCAAATATATATACTGCACCTCGACCAGACACTTTTTGTAGCAATCAACATTTCATTGTTTGGTTCCTTGGCATGGATCCGGCTTTTAAGCATTGTCCACAAATTTTCATGGGTTGGGGCTTTGGGAGCACCATTCCAGAAGCTTAATGCTAGCATGCTTTATCCATTTAATAAAACCAGGTTTGATGTGTGTTTGGGATCATTGTCCTGTTGGAATACCAACTGTGTCCAAGTTTCAACAGTCTAGCTGATGATTTGAGATGGAGTTGAAGAATTTGGAGGTATTCCTTCTTCATTATTCCTTCCCCTTTGTGCAATATACCAGTACCACTGATACCAGTAATACTGGCAGCAATACAGCCCCAGAGCATGATGATATTCCCACCATGTTTGACAGCTGGGACAGTGCTCTTAGGTTTGAAAGCCTCACCTTTACTCCTCCAAACATGCGTCTTGTCATTGTGGTCAAAAAGTTAAATCTTTGTGTCGTCTGACCATAAAACTTTTCTCTAGAAGGCATTTGGCTCGTTAATGTGGGCATTTTCTTTTTTGATCAACACCCTCTCAGTCCATGGTGATGTTCTTCGCTGTGGACAGTGATGCTGGTGACTTCCACATTGTTTTGAGAATTGGTCAAACTAATGAGGCAAACATATAGAGAAACTACCAGTTGTAGTCAATCATAATCACTAATGAGAAGTTAATAGGTCTTAGCCTTATTTGGTTAAAGCATTGTAAGTGAATTCATGTACATACAGTGGGGCAAAAAAGTATTTAGTCAGCCACCGATTGTGCAAGTTCCCCCACCTAAAATGATGACAGAGGTCAGTAATTTGCACCAGAGGTACACTTCAACTGTGAGAGACAGAATGTGAAAAAAAAAAAATCCATGAATCCACATGGTAGGATTTGTAAAGAATTTATTCGTAAATCAGGGTGGAAAATAAGTATTTGGTCAATAACAAAAATACAACTCAATACTTTGTAACATAACCTTTGTTGGCAATAACAGAGGTCAAACGTTTACTATAGGTCTTTACCAGGTTTGCACACACAGTAGCTGGTATTTTGGCCCATTCCTCCATGCAGATCTTCTCGAGAGCAGTGATGTTTTGGGGCTGTCGCCGAGCAACACGGACTTTCAACTCCCGCCACAGATTTTCTATGGGGTTGAGGTCTGGAGACTGGCTAGGCCACTCCAGGACTTTCAAATGCTTCTTACGGAGCCACTCCTTTGTTGCCCGGGCGGTCATTGACCAGGTCCCCCCGTGTGATTCTGGGATCTTTGCTCACCGTTCTCATGATCATTTTGACCCCACGGGATGAGATCTTGCGTGGAGCCCCAGATCGAGGGAGATTATCAGTGGTCTTGGATGTCTTCCATTTTCTGATGATTGCTCCCACAGTTGATTTTTGCACACCAAGCTGCTTGCCTATTGTAGATTCACTCTTCCCAGTCTGGTGCAGGTCTACAATACTTTTCCTGGTGTCCTTCGAAAGCTCTTTGGTCTTGGCCATGGCGGAGTTTGGAGTCTGACTGTTTGAGGCTGTGGACAGGTGTCTTTTATACAGATGATGAGTTCAAACAGGTGCCATTCATACAGGTAACGAGTGGGGGACAAAAAAGCTTCTTACAGAAGACGTTACAGGTCTGTGAGAGCCAGAGATTTTCCTTGTTTGAGGTGACCAAATGCTTATTTTCCACCCTGATTTACGAATAAATTCTTTACAAATCCTACCATGTGGATTCATGGATTTTTTTTTCACATTCTGTCTCTCACAGTTGAAGTGTACCTCTGGTGCAAATTACTGACCTCTGTCATCATTTTAAGTGGGGGAACTTGCACAATCGGTGGCTGACTAAATACTTTTTTGCCCCACTGTACTTGAGCATGTATGTATACGTTAGACCGTGTGTGGATTAGAAATCCAAAATGAACTCAGAATTGTGCATTAAATCTAGCCAAACATCATCGTAATCATAATAATAGTAATTATAATAAAGGGCATGCTGCTGAAAATAATACATAATACATGCTGCTCACCTGTATGTCCCCAGGCCGTGCATCTTGCCATCCTTCCAGTAACCTTGATAGTGGTCGTTCTTGTTCAGCGTCTTATTGGGGGCCACAAACTCACCAAAGCTGCATAAACAAAAGGTGATAAATCACGCTCTCAGGCTTACACACCCACACACAAATTGAACAATTACCATAAACAACTAGGAGATTTTAGGCTCCAGCACTCACCCATCTTCTAGTCCATTCTTGAATGCCCCAGTATATATTCTCCCATCACACCATTTCAAAACACCTCTGGGAAAACAAACAAACAACACTTTCCAATTTCTCAACATATAAGTAAAATTATCTAAGTGTAAATGCAACAGTGTGAACATCCAACCTGCCGTTGGGCTTTCCAGACAGCCAGCGACCCTCATATGTCGCATCCTTCAGTCGCCCTTCCTTATAAAACGTGTACGAAGCTGTTCTGGAGATGGGAGGCTCCAACTTCTGCACTGAGCTGCCTGACGCCACGTCCTGTCCCTTTCCGCTCAGGGCCTGGTCCACCGCCTGGTTGATGGAGCGAAGCCACTTGATCTAAGAATGAACAAACAGCCCAGTTCAGAAATAGAAATTGAGTTTTTAAAAAGGTAAACATCAGCTTTTAAACAGTTACCTTCTCCATGGGAGACGAGGCGAGGAGGGTGAGCGTCTCCTCAGGAGTGATCACCTTTAACCCATACCTACACGCACAGATACCCTTTGTTTTACCACGATATAAAAACTACACAGATGCAACAGTGAGGAAAGATCAAGACATGGATATTTACAAGTTATGACAAAACAACCCTACTTCTCCCCTAAATTAAATCTCAGTAAACACTTTCCATATTATGCTCCAAGCCACTAGTTTCAAATCTTAGTGAATAATTCATGAGGTTCATTTTGTAAACTATGGTTCCTATTATGGTATAAAAGCATGATAAAGAAGAATATGCTTTATGATGAACATGCAATGCCCCTCTGTTTCTCAGTCAGATCCAGCCCTCACTGCTGATGATGAGTTACCAAGGGGTCCCTGAGCAAAATGTAAACATTCAAGTATTTCCCAGGAACAATGGAATAGTATCTCTGCTTCATGTGCCCGTGCAATTATAGTTGCATAAATATAATACAGTGCTGTGCAAAAGTCTTGAAGTCTTTTGTTCTGTTCTCTGTCAACATGATCCCAGACTGCTTCAATAATGTTGAGGTCCGGGCTCTGGGGAGGCCGATCCATGACTGATAGAGTTCCACTGTGTGTTTTTATTTCCAGGTATGCTTTTACTTTATTGGAAGTGTGTTTGGGGTCATTGTCATGTTGAAAAATTAAACTGTTGCCAATCAAATGCTTTCCAGATGGTATTGCAGGTGGGTCAAAGTCTGACGGTACTTTTTGAGTTCGTAATTCATTAATTAACAAAATCTCCAACACCACTGACTGAAGTGCAGGTCCAAACCATGACAGAGCCTCTACTGTATTTTACAGACACTTACTGTTGTACCTCTCTGCTAACCTGCTCCCTGCATACTGACGATAATCTGAATCCCAAAATGTCAAATCTGTATTCATCACTCCATCAGACCTGTTATCACTGCTTTTCAATCCAGTTCTTATGTAAGGCTCTTTAAAGAGAAAGTTAAAAACTAAGTATGATCCTTTTCTTTTTTAAATGTAAATAAGAGTGGAGACTTGGTCATGGTTTGTGGATGACTAGGAGAGTTCAGGCTGTGTTGAAGAATAAAGGTGGTCACACCAAATATTGACTTTCAAGCTCATTACAATTGTCCAAAATCTGTTTTTGCCTATTTTATTTCCATTTATTTTCAGTGCACCCATTTCCTATTTTCTTAGCAACATAGTTTCCTGGCTCAAAACTTCTGCAAAGAACTGTAAATATAATTACAAAGATAAGGCTTGTGTAATAATGACTCCAAAAGCTCCCTGTGAAATTCCTTCAATTATCATAGAAAAGCTGCAAACTTACAGGCCCGTGTCCTCCTCTGGGATTGGCTCCACCCACAGCGTGGCCAAAGGGAAGATGTGATGGGTGGAGAACTGGGGGAGAAAAAATGATGTCGGGAGGATAACAAGATAAAATGGAAAAGAGAGACAAGAAGAGAAGGCATCAAAGAGAATATAACCACTGACGGTGAGTGAGAGAGACAGCGACATGAACCCAACCACTACGAATGAGCACATCAGGTGATCGACAGACTTCACCAACGACCGGGACGCTTAAAAGAGAACAAGCAAACTGGGAACGACAACAAGTCCACATTTTTATATCTGTAAACCACTGCTTGCTTTAAACACCATTATTATTATTTTTACCCTTTGCTTATTGTTATTGTCATTTTTTAATGACCGCCACTACAGTAACTCTGTTTCAGACTGTACTGGTAACATCAGGCATCATAATCCCGCTTTTTATGAGAATACGATGATTATAAGGCTACAATTCTACTTCTGGATCCACTGTTATGAGAATAACAGCAGAGAGAGTTTATTCTTTTTAAAGAATAGTAAAAATCAACTATCTGTATTTCAGGCTTGCATAAAAACATGTTTAAGCTTAAAATAGAAACCCAAGATTAAACATAAGACTAAAGCAGTCGTTCTCACGTCTTTAAAGAGGAAGTTAATCCTTTTTCTTTTGGCTTCTCACTCGGGTCTTCTGCTTTCAGACACCACTTTGACCGTCCTGCTAACACCTGCTGCTGAAGGCGTTAAAAATGGTCAAACTTGTTTGTGCATTTCTGGCTTTTTAAAACACTGACAAGATGAGGATGATTCAAGAGAGGCGCCAGTCAGAGAGCGAGGAGGGGAATCGAGATGCACACAACAATCACATTAGAGATGATGAAGAGGAATAAAGAAGAATATTAAACAGAATGAAAAAAGGAAAACAAGCAAGGAGAGGGGAAAGGAAACTGCTGTGGAGAAGTGAACCAGGAACTGTTGGTTTTTTAACACTTTAAATGGAAACGGATTTGTGCTTTCAGCCAACAGCAGAAACCAAGCCTTTACCGGGAAAGGAGAACTTAACATGAAAGATTTTAGACTCCAATGTGTCAGAGCAGATTTAAAAGAGCCTTGGTTACTGTCTGTTCATCTTTCCAAGCAGAATCCCACAGGTGGGGAGCAGGCGAAGGGCAGAGGAGTGGACGGAGGCTGGGCATTAGTGGACATATTCATGTAGTTTATGTAGCAATGCACCCGCAGGTTCTGATATTGTCTCAACGAGTGTGAAACACGAGGCAAACCACTGTAAACACATGTGCGTTTCAAAAGGTTCTTTCAATTTTTTAGTACAAAATTTCCTCCTTTGTCTTTCCGTGCATGCACGTAAATGTTTGTAAGCAGAGAGAACATAGCTGCCTTCCACTGAGCTCATGCAACCAACTTTATGCAACCAACCCCCCCAAAAGAAAAAAAAAGAAAAAAGAAATGATTTGCTATTCACATTATTACTCACATTAGAATATAGAAAATATATCAAATGTTTGAACTAATTTGAAGTCATTTGACTGTTTCATGAAAAATATTAGTTCATTTTGAGTTTGATGGCAGCAACAAGTCTCAAGAAAGGTGGGACGGAAACAAAAGGCTGAAAAAGTAAGTGGTACTTAAAAAAAAAAAACTAAAATTAAATTTAAAAAACAGCTGGAGGAATATTTTGCTTTTTAATTAGGTTAATTGGCAGACTGGGTAAGAAGAGAGCATCTTAGAAAAGACAGCACCTCAGAAGTTAAAGTGGGGAGAGTTTCACCAATCTGCCAAAGAAATGCTTGTCTGAATTGTGAAATAATTTCAGAACAATGCTCCTCAATGTAAAATTGCAGATACTATGACCATCAGGATATTCAGAGAATCTGGAAATTCTGGAGAAATCTCTGTGCGCAATGAACAGGGCGGAAGAAGAAGAAAAAACAAACAAAAAAAACAAAAAAAAAACAAAATCAGTATTACCCAAATTATTCAGTCTGCTTTTTAAACGGTTGTAAAGTGTTGGAACTTATTCATATGCTTAAAAAATATTTTATAACTATTGGTATAATCATTTTATATATAATCAGTATAATTATCTCATTGTTTCCTGTAAAAACCTGACTTCTTACCCCCTATCCTAGCGTACCTTTAAGCATTTGTAGGTAAATATCATTAAATTGTAATTTCAAGTAAAATACAGCAAAATATCTTTTAATTACAGTTGAATTAAACCCTCAGTTGCAGGTCGTTTACAAAGTATTACTGATATTTGTTGTAGCACAGGTGCATCGCTAACATAAACTCATTCAGATATTTGGGGGGGGGGTCCACCTTAGTAAGTGTGTCCAACAGGACCACATGTTGTCACACAGGGTCCCCCCACAAGAAAAACGAAAAACCCCAAAGCGTGCGTGCATGCGCGCGCACGCACGCACGCACGCACGCACACACACAACAAGGAGGAGGAGGTGGGAGACAGGGTGAGTTGGGTCGCTATGCTGAGTTTTGCTGCTGGCCGCATACTTACAAGATTTTTACAAGGCGCCACGCCCTGACAGCACGGAGGCAAGCACACACAAACGCTTGAAACACACCAGGTTACAGTGTCTGAAATATGATGGCTTCATAAAGGTGAAAGAGGTGAAGAAGTGACGGGAGCGTTCAGTGTGAGCGCGTGTGTCTGTGTGGGTCTAACCTGTGCGTGGACCAAAACATCGTTGAACAGGATGAACCAGTTGACGGAGAACCTGCCGGCATTCTGCAGGGTCAGACCTTTGTTGCTGCTCTCGCAGATCAGCCGCCGGTAAGGCTTCCGCAGAGAGTCCTGACGACAAACAAGGATGCCAATCGGCATTATGGAGCGTCACATAACACCTTGGGACTGAACGTGGAAGGCTTGGTGCGAGCAATGATACAGAAGATGAGGACAGAGAGTTTACCGTCATTTTTCCAGGAAAGATCTTCCAGAAGTGAACAGTGTAGTCGGCCTCTTTCCTTTTTCGCTTCAGTTGCAAGACCGAAGCTTCAAACTTGGAGCAGCTGTCCTGAAGCTTCTGATACTCAGTGGAACACTAAAAAACCCCAAAAACAAACAAACAAAAAAAAGTAGTTAATTTAGGCCAAAAATCTAAAACCTATATAAGATAAGGATTATTTCAAAAAAACAAAAAAAAACAAACCCATCTTTATATATTTTGTAAGTATACAAATAATTTCCTGTATTCCAGTATTTATTAAGGAGGAAATATGAAAGTTACTATAAAACAAGGAGATTAAACTGTGTAGAAATGACAACACAAGATGAAACATGATGTTAGTAAAAAGAGGAAATAACAGAATACAAACTTTGAGGTCACATGCGCTGCTGCTCGAGTTTCTTCCACCTACCACTTCGAAGCAGGTGGCCAGTTTGAGCAGCAGCCGGCTGTATTCGTGAAGGTGGCGTGCAGGGAGGTAGAAGAGCACCACCAGGAGGTCGGCTGTGGTGAGGTTCTCCTCGCCGCACTCTGACAGCTTCTGGAGCAGCTCCGGACCTTTCCCAAACAAGTCTCTACGAGAAAATCACCACCGATTTATCATAAAGGATTTACTTTTTAATTTTTCTTTTCTTAAACATGTGGAGTTAATGTAGAAATTGTTTGTGTGCACTCACATGGATGGTTTGGTCAGAGCCTGGAAGCCTCCCATCACCTGGAAGTTTCCGACGGCGCTGCAGTAACTTCATACACACAAAAGCTAAAAGCGTTAAGGACTTAAACTCTCAAATGTTTCAAGTTGTGTTTTGTTTTTGGACACGTACTCGTTGTAACAGTCGAGGAAAATACTGGTGTGCTCCAAGATGAGAAGGCTTTTGACCTCACGACAACGCCGCAAGCTAGCAGTGAGGCTGGTGGCGTGCTGCCCAGTCAGGTGACACAGACGGCCAAACATGTTCGCCAGTGTCTGCAGGAGGCCGAAGATGACCTGCCCGAGGGCCGAGCTCAGAGACTCTAGAGAAGGATGGGATAGGAAAAGAAGAAAATCAAGGCTGCTGAAAACTTTTTTAAACTTTGGGAAAACCTTCGTCTTCCTGATGTGTCCTTCTTACCCAGCTCCAGCAGAGGGCGTAAGATCTGAGACTTGATGTTACACAGCTTGCAGTAAAACCTCCTCTCAGCTGACGCGAGCTCGTGGAGGCTGGCGATGAAGCCCATCACATTCCTGTCAGAGAGTGCCACGCACCGCCGCCCACCCGCGAACACACTGCTCACATAACCAAGCTGGGAAAAACACAAGAAACGCACATTCACACTCGTACCAACACACAACCTGAAGCTAAGTGCTGAGCTAAAAGCAAGAACCTGTAGCATTAAACTACGTACATTCATGCAGAAGGGCAGCAGAACAGGCTGCTGGGTGTAGCCCCCCGCCTGCTCCTCCTCTTCCTCCTCTCCTCCTCCCTGCTGATGCAGCTCCTTCTCATTACCCCCCTCCTCCTCGCCCTCCTTCACCTGCTGCCCGCTGTAGTAAATGATGGGCTGGATGCAGTCTCCGTCTGCGAGCAGGAGTGTGTGCCTCTCTCCCGCGCTAACGTCCCACACTCGGATCCCTTCTGACAGCTGGATGAGGAAAGCAGATGTTGAAAGACACCAACTTACACGATTGATGTGCATGAACGGGAAAAGAGTGGTGGTCTCCTCACCTTGGCGAGGCGGGGGACGGTGCTCGGTGACTCCATGTGTCCCAGCTGGCCAGAGCTGTTACTGCCCCATGAAAACACCTGGAAGGTATAAAGTACACACACATACAAGAGTGAGGTCTCTGAATGAAAACACAAAATATGTATGGGCTTTTACTTGCTTTGACAGGGTTAATGTCACTGCTCTGTGCCAACAGCAGGTTTATTTTCATGCTTATTTCTGGATCCTGATTGGTCACTGTGGCGTCAGGGTTATTGATATATATCCACTTCTTAGTTTTGCATGATCAAGACATTGCTGATCTATGCTTTTGTCCTTTTAATGTCAAAACAAAAACAAAAAAACCTGTTGATGTAGAACTGCTCATCCTTTTAAAATATAGTTTCTACTTCGATTCAATGACCAACCTGAGACTGAGCCGTCAGAGCGAGGGAATGGTGAGCGCCGGCCGCCACCCGCACCACCTCCTTGTTGTTCAGACTCTTGATGCAGAGCGGCTGCAGTCTGCAAAGACACACAACACACTGCTGGTCAGAGGGCAGCCATTTATATCAGAGTTAATGACATGCTATGTAAACACAGATGTGAGTTTACTGTCAAAACAACAGCAAACAAAAAATGTCCAGCCTAAAAATTTTGTATCAGAGGACAACTGATATTTTTGAGACAGATATTTGGTGATCAAACAACTGGATATATCAGCCGATATTTTCTGTTAAACAAATACATTTGCTAGGTTTAGATATGAGTTTTGATTACCATAACTTGACAACATAGTTTAAAAACATTTTTTCTTTTCATTGTCACAAGCACTGGATTATTCATTTGGCACGACTCCTCAGATCAGCTGCTTGTTGTTTGTGTGCAAAGTGTCCACTAAAGGGCAAACTATGCAACATCAAACCCGTTTCTTTATTTACCTTTTTACTTTAATTTATTGGAAACGGCCAAAACTGACATATCGGCGAATAGCTAATATTGGCTGATATATTGGATAGGCTCTAATCTGTACTCATGTGTGTTTACCGAAGGCTGGTCAATGAGTTTTTATTTTCAAAGTTAACAATGTAAATCGGTGTTAAACCCCCAAAATAATAATGATAAAGACTGGTGGTGAAGTGGCTTGATTTTTTTTTTTTTTTTTTTTATATGACCTTGAACATTTGCCTTTATGGTCCAGACATCCTGTTATTACTGTGACAGGTGTGTCCAACCTGGCCAGGTTGTCTCCGTGTCCCAGCTGTCCATGCTCGCCGTGGCCCCAGCTCCACACCTCTGTCTGCAGGGTGGGCAGCACCTCGTGGTCCTCGGGGATGGCCCCTCCCAGCGGGGTGAGGGCGACCGCTCGCATTTTGGGACGACCGGCTTTCCTTAGCAGTCGCGGTGACACTGCAGGAGTCAAAAACAGAGAGGTCTGTCCACTGCACAGACATTTAAACAGCTTCAGTATTTTCCTCTGTTATTTTTCAGTTCTTAATATTCTAATTACTAGCTTCCGGCTGAATGAAAAAGTTATAGCTGAATTTTTTACGAGATAATCAGTTTAGGGTGTAAAGTTCAGACAAACAAACAGGAGTTTAAAAAGAAAGGCAAGCCTGCACAGAGACACATCAGCCACTAAAATCATGACAAACACTATGGAAGCCCTGAGATCCAAAAATCCAGACAGTCAACTTTCACAATCAAACTTTTTTCCTGTCCCGAGTCAAAAGGTTATTGTAGGTTACTTCTTGTATGTGTGAGGCAAGAAGTGCATCACTCCCCTGCTTCAAAACTTCTCAAGAAGGTTAGCAACATTAGCAACATGTGCAGCATTTAAGCATGTGCAGCATGCTCTGGGACATTAAAGGCTACTAGGACAAAACTGGAAAGAACACAAGCCTTTACCACAAATATCAGTCATGTAAATGTGAGCATGGTGAGATGGTGGTGAGAGCGTTGTGTAACTTAAACTGAACAAAAACAAAGAACGTGCAGACATACAGGAAGTGCGGAAGAAGGTGGTGTTCTTTGCGATCTCCAGACCGGGTGATCCAAATCAGCTGGTTGTTAGCCACATAAGAACGTCACAGTACACATTAGTGTGGCCGTGCCAATTGTGGAACAAAGCAGCTAGTCAGCTTAGTCTTTGGTGGAAACGGGATCAAATATCAGGATATCCAGACAGCAGCCACTCTTTATGAATGCAAATTCGCCAAATATCATTATCAGTTGACAGTTGATGGTTTCAACAATGCATATGGACCCAAGCAAACCCTCCATTAAGGCTGCAGATAGGCTGTTTACCTCCATGCGTCCAATGCAAAACCTTCTCCACTCTGGAGACCCACATCTTTGTCTTCTTCATTTTAATCTTCTTTCCTATACGGATCGCCACAGTGACTGCCTACATCTGACTCCATTTCTAACATCCTCCTCTGTCAAGCCAACCCTCTGCATGTCTTCCTTCTCTAAATCTGTGAATAGTCTCTGAGGTCTTCCTGTTTTTCTCAGGTTCAAATCATCTCAGCCTCTCCAACTTTTTCTAAAGCGCTGAACCTGAGCTGTCCCTGTGATGTACTCCTTGCTAATCCGTCCATCCTGGTGACTCCCAGTGAAAATTTGAACACCTTTAACCTCGTGTCTTTTTGTTAGTGACACCGTCTCCATACCTACATCATAGCAGGTCTCACTACCATCTCGTAAATCTTCTCTTTCACTCTTGTCGCTATCCTTCTGTCACAAATCAATCCTGACACTCATCTCTACCTGCTCTACCCTGCTTGCGCTCTAATTCACCATTCTTTCTCGAAGGCCTAAAGATAATCACCTACACTGCCCAAACTCTCTTGATTTGGTTGTTGGCATATAGCACGTGTAAAATGTCTGTGTGAACTCGTCTGGCAGGTTTTAGGGTTTCCTCATCAAACATTATCTATCAGGTCTTTAAAAACCGACATTCATAAGATGTCAGCTTATAAACCGATGATGAAATCTATAGCCAACCGTGTCAGGCTCTCCCAGTGAGGAAAGAAAGATATGATGACAGACAAACAGGCAGAGGGAAAGTCCATCCATCTAATTCCCACTCTGGGTCACTCAGAAGCAAAGGGCTTTCCCATAATGCACCAAACACCTTTCTCTCTAAATCACACCTAAAACCCTCATTCTGCTCTATTAAATCTGCTAAATCCTTTTGTTCTTGCTGCCGTTTTCTAGAACAGTGAAACACGCTGACAGGAGGAGGTGATCATTTTAACATGAAGCATTTACAACCCAAGCAGCATTTTGCTTTTGTTACTTTTAGAACTAAAATATAAAAATAAAAATATTTTTATTAATTTTAATTATTAATTTTATTATTTATTAATTTTATTATTCATTAAAATATTTTTTTATATTTTCCCCAATGAAAACATTGATGTCTATGTGAGTTTTTCAGTAGTGTGTGTGTGTGCTTGGATACATCTGTTAATAATTAATAAGTGGTGCAGTGACCTTTGACTCTTATACAAGTCACACACATTAAACAGATGACTTGACTTTCTCATTTTTTAAAGTGCTCTTGCGCAACAGTTCTCCAGGCTTTCTGAGGGCCCTTCAAAGGTTTTGTTTTGCTGCTTTTTCAATCCTTTTCATTGCAGTCCTTGTCCCTGACCATTTTCAGAGGAATGTTTTTTGTTTGTTCAGCCACTTAACACTGACCTATGAATCATTCAAGTATAAAGAAGGCTCTTAAGTCAAGGGATGAACCAGTGCTGCATCTACACATAACAGACAACTCAAGATCCAACTTAAATTTTTTGTATCTTTAGGCACTTTGTTACTGTATGTTGCTATTTCTTTAATTAAATCTATGAAAAATCTGAAAGATAACAGTCTGATAGAAAACATTTTTTTGGCACAAAGAAGGGATTTCCTAAAAATCCTGGCTTGTTGTGAAGTGGGGGTCTAATAAGGATCTACAGTAAATTAAAATTATATGAAAGTCATGTTGTTAGGAAACATTAGGAAAAATTCCATTAAAGACTTGACACAGGACCTGAGAGATGCATCTACTGTTCACTAAAGCTTCAAAAGAAATGGTCTCGGTATACTAGTAAGTGCATTTGCATATACACAAGAATACTCCTAAAAACGTTGAACAAAACAAGTCATCTGTATCTTTACAATCAATCAGGCCTGGTTCATGTAAAAAACACAAAACGTGCACTTCACAGATATTTAAAGGCAATCAGAGATGGAGTGGCTGGAGGTGACATTGTGCTGAATATGACAGAAACATCACATGGGCACGAAGCATGCCGCAACACTGAGCTCACAAGTTCAATAATGAAGCCTGAAGCGTGCACAGACTGCCATCGACCTGCACGAGCGCAAGGCATACTTACGCAGCAGGCCATAGGAGGAGGATAAGAGGTGAACAGCGTATCTACCCTGTGAGAGCAGCCCTGGCAGCGAGAGGCGGCGTCGCAGACCCTCTGCCTCCTCTTCACGGATGTCCCCTGTGCTGGAGCTCTTCTTCCCCTGCATGGAGTCCTCCTGGCGGACACGCTCAGCAGAGTTATCGACCACTCCAGGGGATCCTCCTGACCGCGAGGCCCCTGAGGGGAGGTAGAAGTTCATCATCTTTTTCAGGGACAGGGCCTCGTAGGTGGAGGCCACTCGCCCGCCCACTGCAGAGGCGCAGGAGGCAACCAGGTTGTTGAGTGCCGAGGTGGGGGTGGAGGACATCAGTCCTCCAGTTGAGGGCTGGAAGAGAAGTGAAAGATGGTCAAAAGTTTAAAGATGTTTGGGTGGAAAATGGAAAATAAAAAGTTGTAGCTTTTTGTGACTTTTCAAATACATTTTTGAGTGAAAGCCGTCATTAGATTTTAGAGAGTGGTGGTCTCCCATCCTGATGCTTTTGTTCTGGCATTCAAACGGCTTCAAACTACACTGGCAGCATTTTAGAATCCATAAACAAATACTGTCAAAAATTACGCAGTTATCGTAGCCACAAGCTAAATAAAACAACTAGCCTAATGGTCAGCTTTTGAACTTTCCAGTTATCCTTGAACATATCGTGTGTGACGCATCGTTTCTTATTTTAACTAGAATCCATACAAATCAAAACCATGATGTGGTGATAAGCGGTGCGTCTGACTTTTCCCCACACACCTGAAAGTTTCTTCTATGTTTTCTGGAAGCTTGTTTCTGTCACTGATTTATCATCTCAAAATGTTTACATTTTAGTCAACAGAAAGTGGAAACAAGCTTCCACCATGTTTTATACAGTCTACAGGTGAAATTGACTATGGCTGCTCAAAAAACCTTTGTATGCATTGGTGACAACTACTTTTTTTACGCTCATTAATCACACAAATGCCACTTTTGCTGTTTTCTTTTTTTTTTTTGAAAATGACCACATAACTCTAAAACATCACGAAAGGCATTCCTCAGTTATTTCTACTTCTAAAAGCAGTTGCTCCGGACTTCAAATTACAGTGAACAAGCAAATATTTAACAAAAAGCATCCAGAAACAGTTTGAGAAGTTTAAGATTACGTTGTCAACACAGCCCCATGACCTGCTGGAGTCTGCTCCGAAACCATAGCTGTTGCTTCCTATATTGGAACAGAGGAAGTCTGAAGCAAAACTGTGGCAGCAACTTTTCTGTGTTCCAGCAGGAAGTTCCTCCACTGATGTTTCAGACCCACCCGTTTGCTGACTTGAAGCTTAAACTCATCTGCTCCATGTTTATAAAAGGGGGAGGTAAACCTTTAAGCTGAAGTCACTCCAGCAATCGTGGCGTCTGATTTTTCACATACTATTGCATTAAAGGATAAAAGCAGTGACCAAGCCTCCTCAGTTATTTTGGTTGATATAGATCTCACGGTTATCTAACAAGACATTTCAAAATCTACTTCAAATAGATTTAAGTAGCAGAGTTAGTGAATCAAAAAAAACAAAACAACAAATGCTTGCTTTTTCCCTCTACTGTCACGCTGCTCACCAGCAGAGCGTTCAGCCCTCCGCTTGCCTGTGTGTTCGTCTGTGTGTTGTCGGACAGCTTCTTCAGGTAGTCCTTCACGGCCTGCTCGTCTGGATATGGTGAGCTCTTGGCCCCGGCAACAGCATCACTCTCAGCTCCAGATAGAGCCGAGGTGTCTGAGTCTGAGACCTGGAGCATGCCATTAACCAAAGATGCTTCCCCTTCCTCAGAGGCATGAGGTTGGGAGGGGACAGAGGTGGGGTCAGCAACTGTAGGCACTGCCGGGGACTCTGACTTTGAGGTGTAGGAGGGGAGGACAGGCTCTGATGGGGATGTTTTGAGACCTGTGGTTGGGTTGGGAGCCTCCAGCTTGCCGTCATCCTCGGTCAGCTCCACGCCAAGCGGGCAGTAGTGGCTGTCAGAGATGATGACGTGGTCCTCTTTGTCTGTCATGGTGTAGAGCAGTTCGTTACACCTCCCACATTTGTCCACATGAGGCCGGTGGCCATCGTGAGACCCCAGGCAGCGCACCAGAGCGAGGCTGTGAGATGCCCCGCAGGCCACCTGTAAAACATACCGACCTGCCAGGTGCTCCACCTTCTGAGGCTTCCACACAGGGAAGACGGCGGCATTGAGGCCCAGCTGGCAACCGCTGCCCCATGCCCACACCTCACGCTGCACCGACAGAGCCAGGGTGTGCTTCTCCCCACAAGCCAGCTCCAGCACAGGCACCGTCTGCAGGGGGACAGTGACAGTGTCCAAGTCCTGCAGGGCGACAGGAGTCGGGTTGGGAACAGTGCTAAGGCCCGACAAGCCGCACTGTCCCGCACTGTTCTCCCCCCACATGTGGATGCCGCCATCCTCCGTCACTGCCCCACTGTGAAAGCTTCCGGCTGCGACTGTGACCACCCGCTGCCCACTGAGCGCGCTCTCCAGGGTCGGTTTGGCTGGCTCTGGCACTTGACTCTGCTTCCACGGCAACTCGCCGAAGCTGTACACCTGTCCCCCTGAAGAAGATGTAACAACAGACAATCAGTGTGGGTTAACTTTGATTTATCCAAAAACATCAGAATAAAGATTTAGAAATCACAACATAAAAGCATGACTTCTGATCAATACAAACAGTAAAGACAGAATGAATTCATGAAGATGTGCTTAAGTATCGACTATGACTCTGTGACAAGTCATAAACATGTCCCTCCAAAAGAAAAAGAAGTTTCACCTTCCACCAGGAGAACGCCATGCTGCGAACCCAGAGCGACCTGGAGGACCGGCCGGGGGAGGAGCAGCCTCTCTGGGGTGATGCTGTAAGAGTAGCCCTTCCAAGAGTGGAGCAGTCCTCGCTCGCCGCCGCTGCCATCGTCCCAAGAGCTGGGGGAAAGAAATTGTAGAGATTAGCAAGAGTGAATTAGAAAGGAAGTCTAAGGATCCTTCCCAAGGAAAGGTAGGGAACTGGGTACTGTATTCTGTATTCTGTATTTAGGACCTCATCTAACAAAACTGAGGAAAAACATGACAGAGAATCAGAGGTGCGTGGGTGGCTGATAAAGCAGAGCAGAGGCAGACAAATCGCCTCAGTAGGCGTTTGATCCCCACGCCCCTCACTTCTCCTGAACAACAGATGTTTTGTCAGTGAAAGCAGAAGTGAGCACAACAACTCCATCCTTAGGCAATGTCACATGGTGATCACAGGCAGCCAGCTGAGTGGCATAATCCTGCAGAGAACTAGGAGGGGGATGACTCTGGGTAGACCTACCTCTTACTCTGGGTTTCCATCAGTGGGGTTGATACTACTCTATCAGCATGTCAGATTCAGGACTCCTCCTATTCCTCCTCCTGCTGCCGCCGCTGCTGCTAATTGAGGTTCTGAAAGCAAAAGTACAAACAGTCAAACATTATCAGTCCAGCCACCTCGCAGCCACAGTGACTGAACTATGGGGGAATATCCAGAAGGAAACCCCTGAAACACAAGCCAGCAGACTGGGATGTCACAATAAAAGTGCTAAGGGCACATTTTTATGTATTTAACCCCTTAAAACTCCTCAGGCATCTGTTATTAGCCGCCGGTAGATAACATTAGCTGATTAGCCACAGAGCTAGTTGAAACCACAGGTGTCGCTGCTCTGTTTTCTGGATTTTAAAAATACATTTATTAAAGATACATTTCCTCACCAGCCGGCCGTCTGCGCTGCTCCTCGAGGTGTTCACGTAAAGAGGTCGCTGACACACGCGGTAGTGAGCGTGTTTAGACGCTGTCTGCTGCTCATTTCTGTAATGTTGACACGCTGAAGATCGTCCAACTGTCAGGAGGTCCCACTCCTCCGCGGGAGCGAGCCGGAACGAAGAGAGCGCGCCTTAAAGGGACAGCACACATATTTTTATAGGACGTGTTGTTGGTATCACAAGTTGGAAGATTTCAGCTTTTGGTGAGAGGAGTTGCATCAGATCGTATTATCTGCCATATTAGCAGGGTTTCATAGGCGGGAAAGTGTCAGGGCATCAGTAGAAAGTTCACAGATTAAAATGTAACACATTGGACGAACATAGTCAGGCAGACATGTTTATTATATCCAAAAAACTAACAGTAAATACAGCACTGTGCAAAAATGAGCCACTTCTCACATCAGTGTATTTTTCTTGGAAAATGGGAAATAGCAATAAAGCTTAATTGAAACGTGCAGACTCTTAGGCAGCTTTGTTGCATTTCTTTAAGTAGTCTCCAGGAATAGTTCTCCAGGCTTCTCGAAGGACATTCAAAGATCTTCTTTGGATGTTTCTGCCTTTTGTTCTGTTCTCTGTCAACATGATCCCACACTGCTTCAATAATGTTGAAGTCTGGGTTCTGGGGAGGCCAGTCCGTGACTGATTGAGTCACAGTGTGTTTTTCTTTCCAGGTATACTTTTATTGCATTGGCAGTATGTTTGGGATCATTTTCATGCTTTTTCCAATCGGATGCTTAAAAAATCTGAAGACAGCCTGGAGAACTATTGCTCAAGAGCACAAATTGTGGACTTTAAACCCTGGACCGCCAGGGCTTTTGCATCTTAGCCACCGGAGCACTAGATCCTCATGGTTCCTTGTGCAGGTTATCCACAACTTGAATCCAGAGTGAGGTAAAGCAATGTTTTTAACTTCGCAAGGGTAGTTTGAATCTAACTCAGTGTGGGCCCCTACCTAGAACCAATTGAGGAGACCAAGGGCAAAGTTACCTCTGACAACAGCACTTCTGGGATGCCTCTGGATGTGAGGTGTTTTGAGCATGCCCAAAAGCAGGAGCCCCTGGGGCAGACTGGCAGACTGTTTTTAAAACAGCATAGAAATAGGAATATTATGCTTTTCCTCACAAATGTCAGGTTTAAATGCCACACACAGTCCAATGGGCAAGCTTTAAAAAGAAACTACAACAGAGTGAGACCTCTTATTTGTTTCCTGCTCTCAGGCCCGGCTCAGCTGCTGCCGTTGTTGTGACGGAGGGCTCAGGATAGAAAGAACGCAAAGTCTAAAAAGGGGTCAACAAATACCCTTATGCAACTCTTAATGACTTTAAAACAGTGACTGGCACTATTTCACAACAGGGCCTTTATATAAACTGGCTTTTGTAATATTTATATATAAATACTGAAACATTTCATTTCTCGATTGTGGCTCAAGAGTTGGGAGTTCGCCTTGTAATTGGAAGGTTGCCGCTTTGAGCCCCGGCTTGGACAGTCTCGGTCGTTGTGTCCTTGGGCAAGACACTTCACCCGTTGCCTACTGGTGGTGGTCAGAGGGCCCGGTGGCGCCAGTGTCCGGCAGCCTCGCCTCTGTCAATTTTCAATAATAAAATGCACTAAATACAAATCCTGTAACATTAAAGTCTGTAGCCTGATCTATGGTATTGACTTCATTTTTTTTTTGCTACTTTCATTTTATAAAACAAAAGAAAAACAGAAATATAAAAGAATAATCTCAAAACACAAACCAATCGCCTCTGGCACCTAAAATATAAAGGGGAGGTTGAATAAAAATAAGTTTTAAATATCAAACAGCAACTATACATGTTATTTATCCTCCCAAATCAGAATCAATCTATACACATTTGAGTATCAGAAGATAAAAGTTGGAAATGTTTCCACAAACTGATAACAAATAACACTATCAGTGTGTTTTATACAGATATATCCAAGGAAGATTTTATTTTCAGTTGGTGAAATTTTTTCATAAACTTTTAACTATGAACTATAATTACAAAAAAAATGTGTTACCTAATATTTTGATGTATGTTTTGGTTTGTTTGGTTTTCAGTATTTAAATGTGTCACTCGAAGAGGATAAACAAGATAAAAGATGAATGTAGCTTCTGGGTCGGAAAAGTGAAGCCAATGTGGAAGTGCCTTAAATTGTTATTCTTACTCATGTCCAGCAAGAGGGCAAATCCTGTGGTTGCAGAAAGACTTGTGGTTGTTTGAAAGCTACACTTACTGCATAATTTATGAGTTACACCTTTCTAATACTGGTTTGGACCCTCTTTGCCTTCTGAGCTGTCTCATTTCTTAATGGCACAGATTCAAAAAAGTTGCTGGAAACATTCTTCACTGATTTTTGTCCATGTTGACATGGCAGCATCAAACAATTGCTGTGGATTTGTTGGCTGCACGCCCATGATGAGAATTTCCTGTTCCACCATATCCCAAAGGTCCTCTGTTGGATTGAGATCTAACAGTGATCATGTGAGACCGGACAGTGTGCGCACACTGTGTCTGAGGAGGATGTGCGGAAGTGCTTCAGGAAGGTGAACGCGCGCAAAGCTACTGGTCCGGACGGGATTCGCGGCCGCGTCCTCAAGTCATGCGCGGCTCAGCTGGCTGGAGTGTTTACACACATCTTCAACCTTTCCCTCTCTCTGTCTGTAGTCCCAGCCTGCTTCAAAATGGCCACCATTGTCCCTGTACCCAAATCCTCCACAATCTCCTCATTGAAAAACTGGCGACCGGTAGCCCTGACCCCCATCGTGAGCAAATACCATCGTTCCCTCGAAGCTGGACAGGAAACTGCAGGATCTAGGACTGAGCAGCTCCCTCTGCAGCTGGATCCTTAACTTCCTGTCTGACAGACGGCAAGCGGTCACCTCATCCCCCATCACACTGAACACTGGTGCTCCAGAGGGGTGTGTACTGACCTCTCCTGTACTCACTCTATACCTACGACTGCAAGGCCACTAACAACTACAACATCATTGTGAAGTTTGCGGATGACACTACAGTCTTATCACCAAAGGTGATGAGACGGCCTACAGGGAGGAGGTCAGCGCCCTGACCCACTGGTGTCAAGACAACCATCTCACCCTCAACGTCGCAAAGACAAAGGAGTTGATAGTGGACTTCCGGAGGTGCAGAGAAGTACACACCCCCATCACCATCAACGGCGCTGCTGTGGAGAGAGTGAGCAGCTTCCGGTTCCTTGGTGTACATCTGGCTGAGGATCTTAAATGGTAAATGGTAAATGGCCTGCATTTGTATAGCGCTTTTCTAGTCCATAGGACCCCAAAGCGCTTTACACTACATTCAGTCATTCACCCATTCACACACACATTCACACACTGGCGATAGCAAGCTACATTGTAGCCACAGCTGCCCTGGGGCGCACTGACAGAGGCGAGGCTGCCGGACACAGGCGCCACCGGGCCCGCCATCTTACGTGGTCAGTACACATAAACAAAACGGTGAAGAAGAAGGAGACTGAAAAGATTGAGCCCCCGCATCCTCAGGACCTTCTATCGTAGTGCCATTGAGAGCATCCTCACTGGATGCATCACCACCTGGTATGGCAACAGCACCGGTTACAACCGCAAGACTCTCCAGAGAGTAGTGCGGTGTTCTGAACGGCTAATTGGAGGTGAGCTTCCCTCCCTCCAGGACATCTGCAGGAAGCGGTGCCTGAGGAAAGCGGGGAGGATCATCAAGGACTCCAGTCACCCCAGCCATAAACTGTTCAGACT